CTGCTCCCTACATTCACTTTTCAATAGCTATGCTCTCAATGCAGACCTAATGGAATTTTATTAATTGGTCTGTTCTTGATGATACATTAAAGTAGAATAACACATCTATGCAGCATAATCTTATGAATTTAATTATTGGATTCATTACTGTTTGATTGGGTTGCAGGGGGGAAAAGAAATGCCATGAACCCTTCTTGCACCTTTCTTCCCTTGTCAGTTCTAGCTCTAGAGACATGAAGTTAAGGCAGGAGTGGGCAAAATGTGGCCCGGGGGCCAGATGCGGCCCACCAGGCCATTCTATCTGGCCCATGGGGCTCCTAGAAAAGTTAGAAAATTAATATGTATCTGCCCCTGGTTGCCTGTCATGTGGCCCTCGATGGCTTGCCAAAACTCAGTAAGTGGCCCTCCGCCTGAAATAATTGCCCACCCCTGTGTTAAGGACTCCCCAGCCCCCCTGCAATAAAGGGATGTTCAAACTCAAAGTTTGGTTAGGAGTTATTCAGGTTTATTAAATGGGGTTTGACTTAATAGTATAATTGAGGTAGAAAAGGGTCTTTGGGCTCTATCTGTGCTGCTCTGTAGATGCACTGTGGCTACTATAGGTGTATTGTGTGAGCCTCATCACATGTTACACTTAGGACATGTTTTATTTAGATCATAGTAAGCTTTACTACGCGCTAGAAAGTTTTCTGAGCTGTCACATGGTAATGCTTACTGTGCTCTAAATAAAACACATCCTAAGTGCCAAAGCCCTTGAAGACTCCAGTACATTGTGCTGTGCTACAAGGGCTAGGAATGTTGTCAGTCCCAGCCCTGGCACTGCACCAGAGCCTGTTCAATGAGTGTAGGAGCTGGGAGCCCTCCCCATATTGCCCCCTAACGAGTGAAGCAGGTTCAAGAGCCTGGTGTAATGCTGAGGCTGGGACCAACAAACTGATGTTTGTTGCTCCCAGCCCCCACATTGCACTGGAGTCTCCTAATCATGCTCCTTACCTCTGTGGAACAGATGTTAGTTCAATATGTGTCAGGTAATATGATGTGGGCATGTTCCTCACCAGAAAAGTCCTAACTTTGCTAAGTTATAATGGCCTTTAGTATGTGTTTTACTGCTTGAAAGCTTAGACACTAGCATTTTAAGTGCAGTCTAACAGGTCACGAGTATAACGTGACAAGGCCCTCTGTTTCAGAATTACCGTTTGACATCACTTTGGTGTTCTATGCAAAAATGAGTGCTTAAAGGAACACCATCTCTCACATTGGAAATCTGGAAAACAAGGTTGAGAATTTGTACATTTTAAGAATCTGTGAAGCTGGGGTTACTTTAGCTTTTATCATGATCAGAAACAGTTTTTTTTTTAAATAAAGTAGCTAACTTGCATGCTCACTTGTTCATTATTGTGGTTGTACCCATAGCTTCTGGGACTAGAAACTGTCAACTTCAACCTCCCTGTAGCCAGTATTAGTTGGTTAATCCAGTATTTTGTTCAGGGTTTTATAAAGCCCTGTTGATCTAATTGCCTCTTCTATTTTACTTCTCTGCTAAGAAATAAAATGATCTTAAGTACAGGGAGAGTTTGTAATGTGCTGCTAATTACTGTGGTTATTACTTCCAGCATAACCTTGGTTGTTTTTCAGGTGCAGTTACCAGCAGTATCATGTTTGGTGGGTTTGCAGAACCAAATATTTAAATATGTTAATGATTTGAAATAATTATTAAACTTAATTAATTAACATATATGAATTTAGAAGTTAGAGAAGGCCCAGGTTCAAGTCCTACATTACTTTAGCATTATGATTGGGGAGGAAAGGCTGTATGATTATTTTCACTTGAGAGTAATTAATCCTTCTTTTCCTTTTTTAATGAAGCAGCAAGGAGCAGCAGAGGGACCTCATCTGCATTTAGCCCAGTAGCTAGGGACAGATCAGTATAGGTGGTGTTCATCTGAGGGCTTTTTAACCCTCTACTCACCCACATACTATGTTGTATTGGGGTGGTGGCAAATTCCTTTAGATCAGTATATTGTAGGCTCCACTGAGATGCACAAAACAGGTGATTTCTCTCCAAGCAGTTTTTCTGACCATCTGCAGATTTAGGGCTAGAAAATGAGGGTGGCGATTTTACCCAAATTAGAGATTTTTCACCATTGGGTCCCCTCATAATCTGGGACCTTTGTTCCAATCTTAAGAGTCTGCCTTAATCAGTCTCAAGTTTAGCTTGCTCACTCAATCTGAGTCATGTGTTGTGCATTTCAGATTATAAAACATCTAGCTTCTAAAATTTCAAACCAGTTGCAAGTATAAACAACAGAAAAGGCAAATATACTGTGTTATTTACTAAATAACTACATTTACTATATACTGAATAATGTGAGAATGTTCCCTATTGGATTCACAAATTACATTCACATGTTCATTTGAATAGTCCTTATTTGTATAGCTTGACATCACTTGGGGTCAAACTGCATGATGTATTTGTGTGAGGGTTTTTAAATTCTTTTTAGTTGATTATGTCCCTGGAACTGAGGCTTTTAGTCTTTTTTTAGATACTGTATGTTCCTGATATGATCCTAAAATTCACAAATGTGTTTTGCCACTTTTTGTAAAGTATATTTATATACCAATGGCTTAGTACAGTTAGTTGACCTTTCAGAGTTTGTATTTGTTTAGGTTTGAACAAATTGTATTCAAAGAACATTTTACTGCTCTGAAAGATTTATAGTGCTGTATTTTATGGCAGTTTCTTTTGCCTGCTCTGAAGCACGTGCCACAGTGTTTTTAAGTGTGCTCTGCATGTTTGACAAGTTAGAAGCATAGCAATTCCCATCAGGGCTTGAGCCACACTGTCTCAGGATTTGTTTTTGTTGGCTGGTATCCAGTACCATGCTATTAAAATACATTTACTTGACAGTAGAAAGTGGTGAACCACATTAACTACAAAGTTTTTAAAAGGCTGGCTAAACACATGCAATAAATATTACTAAAAGAAAAGGCCACCCACCTTTGACCTTGGACTCTCTGCCTGTGTGTGTTAGAATTACTGTAGCATTTGAGTAATAATTGATAGGGTAATTCATATGAATTTTCTCTAATTCAAACAGCTTATTGACAGGACTGCATTGCATTGCAAACTTGTTACAGCAAGTAATAGGGAAAATGTTGAGCTTCAAGAAATGTTACTGAATATCTGTATTACCCATCTGTAGACAACACTTTGATCTTTAATATCCTAATATCTTTATAGAGTTACCCCTCATATTTATGTCTGTGATTGTATGAACCAAGAGTGTCACTGTTTATAGTATTGTTTCTACATGGTGCTATATGGGATGATCCTAAAATTTTATGAGTCTGTTAACTGCTAGTTCACGTACACTTACTTCTATGGAACCTGTTCGTGTTAAAAATACACACACATACCCCACCAAGCTGAGGAAAGCCAGTGCTTATTCTATGGGAAAGGGAAATCTAATGTTGGTGGGTTTTATTGTATATTCTGGTAACCTATTAGCGTATGATTCAGATATAATACTTAAACAAAAAGAGGTTGGGGCCAGACAAAAGAAGAAAACCAAGGTAGAGAAGTTGACGATTGGCAATGTTTCAGCAAGCTACGATTTTACAGAAAAGGCTTAAAATGGCTGTGGTATCCCAGGTTCTTCAGTATTATATTTCATTTGCCCTCTCCAGTTAAACTTATTTTTGTTATGGTTTTCCTCTTAAATTTGTACTCTGTAGATCATAAACACTTTTAAAATACTGATACATTTGAAATGCTGTAAATACTTTTTCTCTTACATGCATCACCCTTCTGTGCATCTTTTGAGACAGAGGGAAATTTAACACACAATTACGGATTCATTTTGAGAAGGGCCTAACCCTTCTTTTTGGTGAAGAGAAAAGCAGTAGGTTTGGGAGGAAGGGCAGGAAAGGTGGTTAGTATATTTCAGTGAAGTAATAAGATGAATATGAGTCCTGTTAAGGCTTGGGTACATTTCTAACAAATGTAACACATACTTTCAAGGCCTCGTCCTTCAGTTTTGGAGATTATCCCTTTATACAAATCTGTCCTCAAACAATTTCCACTCTCCATTTACCTTAATACCTATAGTATGGTGTTTGGATTTGTTGTGTTCCATTGTAAATTGTGCCCACTGTTCTGTCTCTATCATCATTTAGTTCTTGAGTCAATTGTCTTGAAAGTCTCTCAATTTTTTACTTTGAGTTGATTATTAAAAGGAGCAGTGATATGCTATGCAGAATAACATACCATGAGTGAAAAAGAGCGAAGTGCTCAGGCCTTGATTTCTTAACACCAGTTTCTGCACCGATCAGAAAAGCAGTGGAGGTGTTATCCCTAGAGTACAGGCTTGACTACAGATACCGACTGGAATTAGATTAGATGGGATATCCTAGATAAAGAAAAAATTGAGACTAGGAATCATTGATTTTTAAATTGTTGTAGAATCTGTGAGTGAGTGATTGGCATAGCATTTGGAAGTCTTGTTCCACTGGGAAGAAGGACTAGATGAAGTAAGAATCATGGAGAGTTTATTATAGAGAGAAGAAAAAACCAAAATTTGAAAAAAATATGTCCGTTAAACTCCCCAACTTGCACACTACAAAATCCAAAGCTATCTCATTGCTTTCCTTCAGATATCCCCTTAAGATTGTTCTTAACTGTGGTGTTTGCAAAACATGTGACAACAGCTAGGCTGCAGAACTCCTGGAACTACTGGATACCATGACGATGAAGAGCATCTTGTTCCCTTATAGTGTCCCATCTATGTGTTTCTGTCTGTTGTTCCTCTCATATTTAAATCTTAAATTTTGGGGGAAGGGACGGTCTTTTTCTTCCACGTTTTTAAAGATTCTAGCATATTTGGGTCCCAGTTCAGAACTAGGACTCATACACATTTTGGTAGTACATATATTAATAGTGAGAGTTAAATGGTTTCAGACCCAAAGATGATGATCAAATATCAATATTAATTTTCTTTCAGAGTGTTGTGCGTTGTCTTTGGCATCCCAAGCTGAACCAAATCATGGTTGGTACAGGAAATGGATTGGCTAAAGTATACTATGATCCCATCAAAAGTCAGAGGTATTTAATAATGACATAACAATGATTAAAACAATATGGTTATGATTAAAACCATGCTTCTTTCTTTTCCTTTAATTAAACTAGAAGTGAAGAAATAGATTTACAAAGATTTTTCTTGCAGAGTATTTTTTTATTGTAATAGAGTAAAAAAAAAAAGTATCTTATGTTCTTTAAAAGCAGTCTGTTTTCTACTAATCCTTCTGTTGTGCTGCGTAGTTGTGTATTACATTTGGAAACAAACCTAAAGCTATGAACACTTTCATCAATATGTTGTATAGAAACTGTATTAAAAACTTCTGGCTAGCAGATCTCCAACTGGTTAGTGCAGGGTATAGTGTAATAAGGCTGTTTGTTCAGCAAAGTAATTTTTATGGTTCTAATGTTGTATTTTGTTTGGGGTCCTGACTCTTAACTTGAGTTTCAGTGATGAGCACAATTAGCTTAAAATTAAATTTGAGGGAAGGAATGGGATGAAAGCTCCCCATCTGTTGCACGTTTGTTACAACCTATGGCCATTCACTACATACCTATAGGACAGCAAGGTGGAAGTGAGTGATGAAGAGGAAAGCTAGCAGCTTGGATTGAATGGGTGAATTTAACAACTCTAAAAAATTGCTTTCTTTTGGTATTATATTAACTCCTTTGTCCCTTAGTTTGACTGGCATGACTATTGGGATATATTTCCCTTCAAGCAGGTGGAGAGTGTACAGCTGACCTTTCATTAATTTATTTATTACTGTATTTACTCAAATTTAAGATGAGTTTCTTTTCCCCATTCAACATGGGAGGGGGGAAGCCCCTCATCAATACAAGGGTGGGGGTGAGGCAGAACCTGCAGCTCTGATTCCAAGCACAGGAAGCTCAAAACACCTGCTGCCTCTGGCTGTAGCTCTGGGGTAGGGGCTGAAGCTAACGATGCCATCACAACAGCTGCTGCATGGCTGGGGTAGGGCCAGAGGCAGCACATGTTACCTACTCCCTAGCCTTAGCCAGAGCCAGAGTTGCAAGTGGAAGGTGGGGAGAGTAGAGGGCACCAAGCAGGGGGGCGGGGGCATGGGAGGCAGGCAGCAGAGGGAAAAAGTGGTGGGGAACAGGTGCCCATAGGTGCAAGCACCACAGGGAGTGGCAGGCATCAGGAGGCATAAGCATGGGTGGGGGCAGGTAGCATGGAGGACAGGCAAGAGGGGTGCAGGTGGGGGAGGCACGTAGGGGGGTACAGGCACCACAGCAGCATGCCTAGGCAGAGGTCACTTAATTATCCTGGTGCCTACCTCACAACCACCTGCCCCCCTGCCAATGCTTGCCCTACTGCAGTAGTGGGGGGATGATTTTAAAACAGCCCTCCAAAACTTAGATTCTAGATGTGGAAAATTATTTTTTTAAATATAAATTTTCCATGTCTAGAATCTAATTATTGGGGGGTTGTCTTAATTTTAAGATTATCTTGGATTTGGGTAAATGGGATAGATATATAGATATAGCTATATAGAGATAGATATATACTGCCCTTCTCCACGACGGCTTACAGTGGAGCGCAGTACAAAATAACTTACCAAAGATATATAACAAAATCTCCCTAAATGGTACCCCAACTTAACTTTCCTTGCTAAACACCTACCCAAAGAAGAAGGTCTTCGTCTTTCTGGAAGAGGTCTAATCTTGGGTTCCAGTGAGCCAAAAAGGGGAAGGAATTCTAAAGCTGAAGAGGGACCTTTGAAAATTACCTTCCACATGTTTTTGCCAAGCGAACTTGGTGCATTGATGGTACCAGCAGGAGGTTGCTCTCTGCTTACTTTAAGGATTGAAATAGAGGATAAGGGAGAAGTCGATATGTAGGGCCTAAATCATTTAGGATTTTATAAGTCAAAACCAGCACCTTGAATTGAACCCACAAAGCCATTGGAAGCTAATGTGAACTCTGGAGTAATGGGCTTCTGATGATCCAGGCCCATTAGAAGGTAGACTGCCACTGGCTGTGGCTTCTGTATGGTCATGAACTAAGGTTAGCCCCACATAGAGGCATTGCAGGAGTCTTGCCTCATTGTTATAAAAGAATGGATGATGGTAAATCTGAAAGAAAGGGTCACAGACTTCTCAGCAGGTAGAGATGATAAAAGGAGCTCCAAGACAGCAGCATCACCTGGAGATCCAGGTGCAGTAGAGGATTCAGGCTGTGAACTTGAGTGACAAGAGGAGGCTGAACCCCCATCAGTGAGAAGTGTCTCAATCCCTCCTACCGGGCCATGAGGTCTGCTGAACACCATTACCTCTGTCTGGGATGCCACTTTGTATACACAGCGGGGTGAGGTTGCCTGCGCAACAGGGTAGGGAGGGCACTTGCTCATGGATTGGGCCTCGGTGTGTAGCTCCTGAAACCACAGCCCACATGGTAAGTGGCCCCCAGCTGCACAGAAGTTGGCCAGCGCTGCCCTGTGTTTTAACTAGGTGGTTATATAACAGAATCATAGAAATTTAGGGTTGGAAGGGACCTCAGGAGATCATCTAGTCTGACTCCCTACTCAAAGTAGGACCAGCCCTAACTAGATCATCCCAGCCAAGGCTTTGTCTAGCCAGATCTTGAAACCCTCTAAGGATGGAGATTCCACAACCTCTCTGGGTAGCCAGTTCCAGTGCTTTACAGCCTCCTAGGGAACACGTTTTCCCTAATATCTAACCTAAATTTCTCTTGTTGCAACTTGAGACCATTGCTCCTTGTTCTGTTATTTGCCATCACTGAGAACAGACTAGCTCCATCCTTTTTCAAACCCTCCTACAGGTAGTTGAAGGCTGCAATTAATTCCCCCCTCAGTCTTCTCTCCTCTAGACTAAGTAAGCCCAATTCCCTCAGCCTCGTCTCGTAAGTCATGTTCCCCATCCTCCTAACTATTTTCATTGCCCTCCACTGGACTCTCTCCAACTTGTCCACATCCTTTCTGTAGTGGGGAGCTCAAAACTGGGCACAGGACTCCAGATGTGGCTTCACCAGGTCAGAATAAAGGGGAAGAATCACCTCAGTTTATCTGCTGGCAACACTCCTTTCAATTCAGCTTAATATGCTACTAGTGTTCTTCGCAATAAGGGCACATGGTTGGCTCATATTCAGCTTATTGTCTACGGTAACCCCCAGGTTCATCAGAGCAAATCTCTGACCCTGAGGCTCAAATGAAAGAAGTGTACACTTGCCTATAGTAGTATATATTGCTCATGTAAGCCCTAGTTTAGTGTCTTCAGGCCCAGTCTGGTTTGGGGCTTCCTTTTCCATCCTTTGCAGAAATGTGCATATAGATGCTTAGTGCTTACAGAGGGGCTGAAATAATAGCACCAAGGTAGGCTGCGCTTACTGCCAGCAAAGCTTAAGCAAGCTTTCTCTCCACAGTTCTTAATGAAGCTCCACTTATATTTCAGCATGTCTGCTGCTTAAGAGAGGATAACACGTTTGAACTGTTGCAAACTGAGTGGGAGGGGAGTTTTGTCATAGGCAAGTGGAGGATAAAATAAATCTGCCTCTTTTCGCTTCCCACTTAAACAATACTATAACATGTATTTATCTCTCTAGCCTGCCTTACATGGCCATATATACATGCACACAAGAAGAAACATATTAGTGAACTTTTAAAGTTCTGTTTAACACAGTCAGGAATATTTGTCTTCAATAATTACTACTTGTTATAAAGAAGCAAACTAAGGCATGATATGTTTCCTCCTAGGGGAGCAAAATTATGTGTGGTTAAAACCAAACGGAAAGCTAGACAAGCAGAGACACTTACACAGGATTACATTATAACACGTAAGTAATTTAAATATAACCTTATAAGAAGCTCTTTTGTTTTTGTCATGCATCACATATTTTCCAAAATCTCCAAATCATTTATATTTCCCCTTACACTGTGTCACATTAATAAAGTATTTTCTATTACTTGCACATTTTAATGTTATTTAGGAACTTGTGTGTAGCCAAGAATTCACTTGTTAGTAATAATATTTGTTAGGAGTAGATATGAGCTGTTTCTGGCAAAAGTCTGAATGGCCAAAAGTTTGCCTTTAGAAAGCCAGGGTGGCTTCCTGACTGTTTTGTCCCTAATTGTTTAGTTTTTTCTTGAACATTGTTGTTGAGGCCTGATGAAGATACTTCCGGACGCAGTATGGAAGTGGAAAATGTTTCTAAATTGATCATATCTTAAGTTTCACTTGAGTTTTGTTAAGGGTTGTTGGGCTTTTTGTTAAGATTTGTTGCTGTTGTGTGTGACATTTGTGGGTGGGATGAGTAGGAGCTTTTCAAAAAGCACATTTTTCTATTGTAATTCTTAGAAAAGTAAAATAAGTCCTTTTCTAAAATGGAATATCTTTCCACCTATAAAATTCAGTGAGCCATGCTTCAGTCTCAGAGTTTCATAGGGCTGCTTAACATGCATAAATGTGACTGGAGGGGATTAGGTGTTACTTCTAAAATACAGGCATGTTATTAATCAGCTTGGATTTTCCTCCATCAACCTTTTCTTTGCATACAGCAAAAAGCTTGGATCTGTGCATTAGTCACCTCAGATGCTCTATGCAGACCAATCAAGCACTCTGCTTGCCAACAAATGTTTCAGGCACCTCATATTTCATGAAATCTGCAAAAATAAAATCTAAATATTTATTCCTAGAGGTATACAGCTGTGTCACCTGGACTGTGGTTTTATCAAGTCTAAAACATTAAGCAGGCTTTCAAGAACAACCTGGAAAGTGATATTGATGAGTCAGTGAGTTCTGTCTTCCTCAGTAAAAAAAACCCCACAGTGTTGCCATATTAGAGATCACCCTATGCTGCTGACAATAACCTCCTTTTATTTGGAGGTTAAAAACACCACACAGATCCCATAGCAATTTACTCCAGAATTAGGTATATGTAACTCTGATATTTGAGCCAAATTCTGATTTAGTTAATTAGATTTTTCCAACCTAAATTCACAAAGCACTATAAAACATATTTTCATAAACAATTGTGCAAGCAGGTAAGGCATTCTAGTATCCCTCTTACATGAAAGCTACTCATAATCTGGCCCATAGGATTAAAACTTTAAAGGCAAATATGGACACTAACATTTAGATTTTTTTTTTTAATGCGAATCTTCTTCAGCTCATGCCCTTCCAATGTTCCGTGAACCACGACAACGAAGTACGAGGAAACAGTTGGAAAAGGATAGATTGGATCCTGTGAAATCTCACAAACCAGAACCTCCAGTAGCAGGACCAGGTAATCCAGACTTGTTATAAGCAAATGGAAAATTATACTGGAGATCTATAAGTATCTCTTGCTCATGCTTCTTTAGATTTAAGAATGTAAGAAGTGCCATACTGGGTCAGACCAATGGTCCATCTAGCCCTGGATGCTTTACAGGGAGAGCATTGAACTAGATATTATCTAGAGTTATCTATCCCATATTCAGTACCCTCCCTGGCATCCACTGTTATTGGTTTAAGAGATGCCAGAGGAAACATCTCTAACCATTCTGTTCAATAGCCATTAATAGATCTATCACCCATGAATTTTATCCAGTCCCTTTTTAATGTGGCTATGCTATCTGCCTCTACCATCTCCTGTGGCAGTGAATGTAACTACGAGTCACATAAAAGAAGTGCTTTCTCTTGTCCATTTTAAACCTGTCACCCTTCAGTGGGTGCCCCCTTGTTCTAGTATTCTGGGACTTGGTGAACACCAGTTCACTGGTCACTTCGTATACAACTTTCATGGTTTCATAGGTCACTGTCATATCCCCCCTCAGCCTTCTCCTGTACTTCAATCATTATTTGGATAGACACTGTCTTTGGCCCATCTACATGTTAAACTTAAAGCATCCACATACAGAGTTTGGATGAGTTGTTATAGGCTGGGTCAGCACCCCTCTCCTCCCCCCTCCCCCCATGCAACAACTCATCAAAACTACCTATGGGGCTTTGAGCAGGTGGAGACCAGTGTTCAGGAGTGGGGCAGGCACAATCCACTCCCTGCCCAGTGGCGGGGAGGGGGGAGCTGTGGGGCAGGCAGGTGTGCATGTGGCATGGAAGTGATTCAGCAGAGCTTGCCTGGTCTGGGGCTGCCCCCACAGTGCTCCACGTGGGGCCAAGCCATGGGGACAGCTTACATGTGCAACTTCTGGCAGGGCTGAACCCAGTGCATCTGCAGCCAGCCAGGTGCTGCTCTGCTCTCTTGCCTCCAGCAGGAACCGCCAGGCTGAGGCTTCCCGCATGCCTGCCCAGAGCAGCTTGGCAGGGCAGGGGCAGAAGAAGGAGGAGCCACCGCTGGAGGCAAGGGGAGCACAGCATCATCCAACCAGCTGCAGCCGCACTGGGAACGACCCCACTGGAGGCTGTACTTCCTGGCCGGGCCCTAGGTCGGCAGGGCTGTTCTGCTCCCCTTGCCTCCTGCACTTGCTATGCCATTCTGGGCGGGCAGGAGGGAAGCTTCAGTCAAGCGGCTCCTGTCCCAGTGCGCAGGGCTCCAATCCAGTTCACAGCTGTTTTCTACCTGCTGCAGCTGCCTACAGGTGACTGCTCATCTCACTAGGCAGATGGAATGGGTGGAAGGCAGCTGGGAGCTGCAGCCAAAGCCTTGCATGCTGGGGCAGGAGCCACCTCACTGAAATTCCCCCCAACTCCTGCCCCTCGGCGCAGCAAGGGCAGGAGTTGCAGCTGGAGGTGAGGGGAGTGAAACAGCCTCCGCAACCTGGGCCCCGGCCAGCATGCACTTCTTCCAGCAGGGAGTTCCCGGTGTGGCTGCAGCTGGTTGGGTGCTGCTCTGCTCCCCTCACCTGCAGCAGTAGCTTCTCCTGCTCCTGTTGCACTGCTCCAGGAAGGTGGGTAGGTGGGTGGGAAGCTTCAGCCAAGTGGCTCCTGCTGGAGGTGACGGAAGCAGAGCTACACCAGGAACAACCCCTCCAGAAGCTGCACATGCTGGCCAGGGCCTGGGCCAGCGGGTATGGGCAGTGTAGTGTGGTGTGGGCTGCCTCAACAGGAGTGGGTGGGGCTTGGCCCCATGCAGACCTCCATGGGGGCAGCCAGGGGCTGGATTGTCAGTTTGTGGGCTGAATCCAGCCTTCAGGCCATATTTTGCCCACCCCTGCCTTAAATAGTCTCCCAGCCACATATTCAATCAGCTAAAGGCATGATAAAAAGAGGAATAAGCTACAAAGTTATTACACATATTTTGTTGAATAACTTTGTAGTTGTTTCCTATCATGCCATTAATTGAATTGTGTGTGTCACACCTCGGCTAGGAGATTGCAGCAGCTGCAGTCTCCCAGCTACAGGAGCATGGGGGGTGCCTCCATGGCTCGGTGCCTGATCAGGTGAGAGGGCTCCCAGTCGTGGGAGCTTGCTTCTTTGCCAGTGCAGGGAGAGTCCAGGATCAGGCTCCCCCTGCAACAGCAGTAAGGCATGATGGGATCTGATTTGAAAATCCACAATCACACTCCTGCCATGCACACCTGGCATGGAAGGAGACGCGATTATGTGGATTACTCTTTAGATCCTATTACACCTTTACCTGCATGTGTAGGGAGGCCATCAAATACGTGTTTGCACAGTGCCTAGAGCAATAGACATTGCTCACTGGTTGAAGTGTTGCTATGAATAACTAAGCACTCCATTTTTTACCGGACCCATAATGTATTCAGGAGAAGTCTTGTGTGAAAATAGTTCTCAATGCATTTTCTGTTCTGTATATCTACTTCCTCAATAATATTGTGTAGCTCCCATACTCCATCCGTGTTAGAGACGCAGGCATATTTAGCTTCTCTGGCTATTTTTTTAATTTCTCTCTTAAATTATTATTTTTCTGTTGTAGGTCGTGGTGGCCGTGTTGGAACACATGGTGGTACCTTGTCATCATATATAGTCAAGAATATTGCACTGGATAAGACTGATGATAGCAACCCTCGAGAGGCCATTTTACGTCATGCAAAGGAAGCTGAGGAAAACCCATACTGGGTTGCGCCAGCATATTCTAAGTAAGGAAATAATTTAAAATACAAGTAATACTTCTTAAACCCACTGGGAGTTCAGTATAAATAGAAGAAATATATTTTTAACAGCATTCTCTGTCTCTTCTGGATTCTTGCCATGCATGTGTAAACTAACAGTATGTCAAGCTCTAATATGAAGGTAGTATTTGAAGCACATTAAGCTATTAAAAGTATAAATATCAATTTTTAAAAATAGTCTTTCAGGACTCAAAAACTATTTTAAAGCTTGCTAAACTCACTAGTCATAATAGTGTTTATTCTGCTAAATCTGTTGTAGTTAAACCCCACTAAGCACCCTTACTTTATGGGTAAGGACAGACATTACACATAAACTGGTTTAAGTGATCAGAAACTGGTTTAAATCTGTCACAGAACAGCTGTTCAGTGCACATAAGCTGGTTTGAAAATGACTGAAACCAGTTTGAGATAAACCTGGTTGAATGTAGTATCAGACTTAACTTATTGGCTCAAACTGGTTTATGCAATGTCTGTCCCAGACCTCTTGCTGGTTTAAGTTCAACCAAATTCCCCCAGCATCCCAGCATGCTCTCTCGGCTGGGCGGGGCTCTCTGCTCCACAGCAGGGCTGGCCTCTCCCCTTTGCTCCCTGGCTGTAGCTCCAGCAGAGACTTGCAGACACAGAGCGTGTGCCTGACCTCTCTCTGCTAAGCAGGGTTTATTTCCCCCTCCCCTCCCCTCCCCACCCCCACCTTTCACAGACATCTCACCATTAACTAGCGGACCACATGCTAGCTACAGTCTGTGCTGTGGAAGATGACAAAGGCAGGCAGGCTTTTTGGAGCTAATCAACAGGTATCTTAATGTCCTTCCTTGGAAAAGCTGTTTAAGAACAGCTTCGAGACAGACTTTGTCTTCTTAATGGGTTGAAAAATACTGAGTTAGGGGTGATAAACATTCCCTGCTGGGCTGCTCAGGAGCGGCAAGAACATCAGAGCATCCTTCCAGGGCCTGGCCATGCCCCCCTCAGCTCAGCATTGTGGAAGGGACGGGAGGGCTGCTCTAGCACCCCCAGGCTTCTAGCCTGAGCCAATGCAGGCATGTGCCTGCATTTCTAGAATGAAAAGGGAATGTCTATTCACCTCCAAATCGGTTCAAGCTTTGCTGGTAAAGATTGAACCAATTCATCAACATTTTTTATTCCAAATTATTGGTGTTAACAGTATAACACTTTTTCATATCTAGACCTCAAAATGCCTCCCATGCAAGGTAAGAATCAATAAGACAAATTTTACAGCTGCAGGAAGTAAGTTGTACAGAGAAATTAAATGGTTTGCACAAGATCATTTAGCAGGCAGAGTTGTGAACAGCTATGCTTCTAATTCCCAGTCCAGTGTTTTATTTCCTAGAATTACTTCCTGTAATTTTTATCTTTATAATTAGAAAATAAAGTAAAAGGCAAATTTGAAAACTACCTGCAGGCTTACAGCAATGTAATAGTAGTGGCTGTTTGGGTTTTGGACAGCTGGAACAAGAGACAATCTGAACAGGGTGCAGGTCCCAGGGCAAATCAGCCTGTGCAGGGCCCCACCCCTGGATCTGAGGAAGCCGGCAACAGATTTGGTGGCGGAGGGGAGAGGGTGCCAAGTGGCTGGATGCTCCAGATTCGGCAGGGGTCCGGCAGCAGTGTGGAGTTACTGCCGCTGCTCCACCTGGCTCTGTGGGGCCCTCCAAAGTGCGAGGCCCGGGGCGGTCACCCTGATTCACACACCCCCACACCCCCCACCAGGGATGGCTCTGGTTGGGACCATGGGACCATACTGTTAGGCATCTGAATGCTATCCTGTTCTTCCCTGCTCAAATCCTGAATACCCATTAATGCTAAAGGCAAGTGGGTCCTTCTTCACCTCCTTCCCAGGTCTTGTGACTTGTTCTTGAGGCTCAGATGAAGGCAGGTTACAAAAGTATACAAATTAATGTCACATTTTCAGTGACTTGAGCAGGGCAGAGTCCTGCTCAAGGATAAATTTTATCCTAATAGGTGAAATAGGATCTCCCTTGGTTTCTAACCTACACCATGTCACGAGACTGGCCACAAAACAAGTGCTACTGACCTAGCCTGGATTTGAATGGGTAATTATTAACTCGTGCAGCACCTATGGCTTTGTTATAAAATATTTAAAATAAATGACTAATACAATTCAACCTACATTACCAGTTGCAATTAAGAAGTATTTAAAAGCATGATTTTGTACAGTTTACTGCAGTAGAGATTCAATGTATGGCCATTTAAATTATCTAGGGATTCAGATGTGCAAGAGAGGAAATTTACTATGAAATCTACTTTATTTATTGTCATTTAGAAAATGTTCTCAGAAGTAGGTACAGCTACTCATTCCATCAATAGGTTGGCATCTTTTTGTATTTTTGGCCAGGTAATGTCACTGATTGTATATTAAGTTTCATCCCTGACACCTGCAATGTAATATACATGAAAGTTTTAAAACATAGCGGTATTGCAGAAGGCTCGCTGTGTCAGGTGGGCAGATTTCATTACGGTATCTTGTTAAAAGATGTAGCTGCAGGGGAAGAAAAGAGCTGGCTGAGAAGTGGGGAGGATGCAAGTCCAGAATGCTATTAGCTTACACACCAGACGGTGATATGTGTGTGGGGGAGTCGGACAATAGCCAACAGCTTACTGGCTTGTCAGTGATAAATTTCATGCCAATGAAATTGCCATTAGCCTTGCTTTGGAAACTTGTTTTTAAGAATTATCCCGTGGCATATGCAATTTAAAGTTAATTTTTATTTATATAAGCACACAAAAATGTAGTACTTTTCTCTATATCATATTATATTTTTGCTGACCTTTATCCTTTACATACTTGATGTTAAAGAAAAAATGCATGTCTGTATTTTATGCTATATTTGCACATACAGACCTAGACCTTATCCAGTTATATGACAACCAGGGATCCAGGTTTTCTGTTTCTCACAGAAAAACAACCCCCCCCCCCCCCCACAAAAAAAAAAAAAAAAAAGGATTTCCACCTTGACTAGGAAAAATGCAAATTTTTCATTTTAGCAGATAAAAATGCAGATTTTCCACTTATGCTAAGAGCTCTCTGCAGGCTGGCAGAGTTCCAGCCTGCAAAGGGCTGGGGAGAGCAGAAGAAGGGCAGTCAGGCAGGGAGGTGCCATGTACAAGTGTGTGCTCACACATGCACATGGTTGCTAGGCAGCAGTTGGGCAGGGCTGGGGCTGGGGCAGCTGCCTAGCCAGGGTTGTGCTTGGGGCCCGGGGCTGGAATGCATGGCTGCAGGGCCTGGGCGGGGAGCGGGACAGGGCTGTAGGCAGCTGGTGCAGAGAGGAGAGGGGGCTGGCACTCTGCTGCTGCATGCACTCCTGGGTAGAGCAGGAGGGCGCACGTCCCCCAGATCCATGTGCAGGATGGGGGCGGACTGCCTGCTATGGGCTTAGGCTTATTGCCCCAGCTGCCACAGCAGAATGGAGTGCAGAGCCCAGCTCCCCCTCCCCCACAGGCAGCATGGCTGGAGCAGAGCCTGTCAGGGGTGGGACAGGGCCTCCACTGCCCAGTGGGCAGGACCCAGCACAACTAGGCAGAGTGGGGCTGGGTGGGGAAGCTCCTTGCTGCTGCAAGCCCTGTGCTGCCCTGGCAAAGTGCCCTCTGCCCAGCTGGCAGCACTGGGGACGGTGGCACAGAATTGTGCCCCTTGCTGTTGCCACGTGGGCAGGAGGTGCCTCACCAGGGTGACACAAAGCTCCCAGTGGCAGCACTGAGCTTCCTCACCTGGCCTTGCTCTGCCCTGCCACACTGGGTCCACTGGGCTGTGGAGGCCCTTGGGAGAGGGCAGCAGGGTGGGGAACCCGAGCCTGCAGAATCCAGCCCGCATTGCCCTCCCCACCCCTGACAAGCTCTGCTCCAGCCATGCTGTCTGTGGGAGTGGGGGAGCCGGGCTCTGTACTCTATTCTGCTGTGGTAGCCAGAGCTTGGGCACTTCTGGGTGGGGGCAGGGGACTGCAGATCTGGGTCCTGGCCCCATAGACCTGGCAGCTTGGGGCTTTCTCCGGCAGGGCTGGGGAAGGCAGGAGGCTGTGGATGGCAAGTGAGGGGCAGCAGCAGGGCTAGGGACTGTGGGTGGGGAGTGAGCGGCCTAGATGAACAAAGCGGGGAGGGGAAGCTCTGATTTTTCCATGATAAAGAACCCAAAATCAAATACCAAAATATGTAGGTACTTAGAATTTATTCTATTATAGTGATTGAGGCATTGGTATGCTTCCATTTTGCTTTAAAATTTAAACTATATCAATAAAATATTGTGTTTAGTAGATACCGAGAGAGAGAGAGAGAGAGATGTTTCATTTTAATCAGATTTGGGGTTTTTTAATCAGAGAATTTGCAATTTTCAAATAGAGAATACCGGATCCCTGATGATAACTAACTATTCGTACACACAGCTATAGTTTTTATATGCACACGCGCGCGCGCGCGCACGCACACACACACACACTCTATTATATATAGTATGTATATTATTTATATAATAACTTGTATATTATATTCATGTAATTGTTTGTACCTATATAGTTTTATAGTTGTTGTATAAATACACATGCCTTATTTGTACATCATTTTTCAGGCTTTTTCCAAAGTACATATTTAATAAAAATATTCAAAATGGAAGTAATGATTATGCTAAATAATTATGTATAATTTATAGTACAGTACTGCCCAGAAGACCTAATTGGAATCTGGGTCTCATAATAGGTTATATACAGACATGCAGAAAAACATGGATGTGACCTGAAGGAACTGCTGCATGTAGTATGCTGGAAAATTGTGTTTTAATTATAACGGGAATCCATTTAATGCACTATTTTAGTACAATTAGTACTACTACTAGTACCTACTACAATTAGTAGGTATTCATTTTTAAAAGCCTGCTTAAGGGATTTAGGGTCTACAAAACATATTCTTATAAAATCTGATTTGTTCTTCTGGCTATT